TTTGAAGTTTCTAATTGACAATTTCCTATTGGAAAGCATCAAGTTGCCACTTTCAGCCTGAAGAAAGGTTGATTCCATAGCCCGTCTCTTGTCCGTTAAGACTTTGCAAGTTTCTGTAGCAGAATGGAAAATTTACTACAGGTGGGGGCTGCCTGCAGTTCCCAGTGCTATCAAATTTTGGAAACTCATTTTGTTTGCATACCACTAAGAATTTGTTTACCAATCTTCCTTAGTTTCCCCCCACAAATCTATCAAACATGAAAGAGGCTCCCAAACATATGCCCTCTTCTTTCCAAAGTAGTCACTGCATCACCACCATGGTCCATTGTGCCCCCTAAGCCTTCCTTGAAATGTAAAACCTTGCAAAAACATTCTTCATTCCTTCTTTTGGGAAACCTGGAATTGAAGATTTGGAGGAGCAAACTACAGTATGATGTGAATCCGTGTGCTACAATTAACACTTCTCTCAAGTTTCAAAATCTCTTCTGGGTAGAGTAGCTGCAATTTCAGAAATGTAATATATATGAAAGAGCTAGAACTAAGACTCCACGTTGGCTGGGACCCATCACAAATAATAGCTCAGCTTGCTTGGAATTATCAACAAGAGAACTAGTAATCAAATCTAATTAACATTTCGGAAACTGGTTTCTGAACCTTTGGAAGGTTGATTTGTGATGAAAGGTTGTGTTCCTTCACTGTGTGATGAAACTGATGAAGGAACACAATCAGTTTCTGTATACATTGTTTAGCTGTGTTTGTAAATGGATTCAAGAAACATTTCTAAAGGAAGACAGCAGAATAATCTGTTTTCTCAAGCAACAGTGAAAAGTTGAAACGACAAGAACATCAAAGATTCATAATTCAGAAAGCAGAAGTCCAGAAACCAAAAACCAGATATCTTCAGTGAGGTTGCTATTGTTGAGGTGATCCTGAACAAAACGCCCTACAGATTGTTTACATGTTACATACACACATAAACACACTTGGGGCATATCATCCAATAGTTAGTCAGTCCCTCCTTCCCTACTACTTGTCTTATACTTTTAAAACTTCTTCAGAAGATTTTGGATAAGCTGCTGGGTAAAACATCCTCAGCTGGAGGAAGCGGAAGAGGAGGAAGACAAGACCTCTGCCATTTTTGTTTTGATTTTTTAATATATGCAAAGCTGAATTTAAGTTCCTAGTCCTGCCCAGCCTTAGCAACAGTGCTGGAGTTCCTGATAGAGTAAATTCCAAATTCTCTTGTGGATCAGATCATATATTCTATAGTTGAACTTGAGACTTTGTATAGATTTCCACCAAGCCAATGGTATTTGGAATACAAGTGAGCAAGAATGGCCCTGGGCCCCACACTCCCAGGGATAAAATAGATGTAGTACAAGAATTCACATGCTATAATAAACTTGATAGCATAATTCTTAGCTGTTTTTTTTGGGGGGGGGGGGGAACAAGCAAACACAACTACCTCTCTGAAATGTGCAAATAGGACTTTTGGAGTCACACAGACTGCCTTACAAAACAAGCTACCATAAAACACTATAACTACATGGTTAATTCACAATCAAGTACTCCTGTGTAAATCCACTTTACAACATTGCTGTACCTACTATAGCCCTTGCCCACACTAAACATATTTTTAAATTTATTTTTATTTAACAGTGCTAAATGTTTCACCCTGCCCATCCCAAGATTCTGAAAGATTTACAAGAGCAATAAAATAAAATCAACCAATTACTAAAAACCAGAAATAAAGATACATGTAACACAATGAACAAATTTAGACCCCAAACCAGGCAGCCCAAAAACCGTAATCTCTCAAAGCCCAGCAGAACAGAAATACTTGACCACATTTCTGAAAGTCAGGAAAGTGGCCAATCTGACTGTGAGAGGTGGCTATTCCACAACTGTGGATTCATAGTAGAGAAAGGCTGCCTCCAGGACCCCCCTTGCTTCAATTCACTTGGGGTGGGAACCTGAAACAACCCCTTTCTGAAAGATGAACAAAGTGGCGGGCTTGTTTTTGAAGAAGTAACTAGGAGCTCAAATGGTCAATAAGCCCCAAGCCTTTGCACTGCACTCAGAAACTGACTGATAACACCACCACGAGGCACACCACCACAGGTCCAACATGGCTGGTAGATGGGGGCATTGAAGTAGATAAGCTTTTCCCCTTTAAGAAGACACATTGTTATGTTTGTTGAATGAAGTAATTCATTTGCTGGAGATCAGTAATCTTAGAGGAGAAGTAAAGAGCAATCTGAAGGAGAGAGAAAGAAAAGATCTGGAAGAAATTCTTCCTTGTGGGCAGTAGGTTGTGAGGTGCTGAACAGCATTCCTGTTTCAAGCATTGCTTCTCATTGGCTCATGTGCTGATCAAAAACTCCCATCATATCTCAAAAGGTTGTCGGTGATCTCTTGGTAAAAGGATTAGTGAGTCCAGCATGTCTTCTGATGGGCAATAGCTCAGTGAGTCCCTTGTCCTGAGCATCTCAAACACAGTGATACGTTGTGTCTATGTTCTGTGTGTCACTGTTCTAGATGCAGTCTTCTTCATCTGGGAGAGTTGGACCCATCCTGATTGACTTCCAACAACACAATTGGCTTTGGCTCATAAATCCCAAAGTCCATGAATCACACTCTTTGGCACACTTGTTCTGCATATACATATAT